CTGCAGTTTGGAAAATATAAAGGGAAATCTTTCCGGTGGCTTCTGGAGAATGATGTCGGGGACACCACGTACCTGATCAAAGATCTCCAGAAGCAAGAGGCTGCAGGGACCTCTGTGGAAGAAGGGCATGGCAAGGAGAGCTTGCATTCATTTGTACAGTAAGCCCTCAGCTTTGCAGAGATAAAAACTCTTCTGAGCTACGAGACCAGCAGAGTAAGTGTTGCTGCAGAAGCCTCTGAGGATGATCAGCTGGTTGGCTTTGGCTCACGAGCCAAGAGCACCTGGAAGGAGATTTGGGACGGCAGAGGTGACGGCTATGCAGACCTTATCATGAGGAAGAGCTGCAGTCAAGGAACACGGCTGCATGAGCTGCAGCAGTGCCTGCGGAAGAAGTAGCAGTCTGCGCCTGCTACTACAAACGCCCCAACTAAACAACCTCTTGGTAAGTTGTTTTAATAATATTTTAATAACATTGTTGACATGAAATATAAATTCAGTACATATTGTCTAATTGTTGCCTCCATCACAGGGATGGATGAGGATGAAAACCTGGAGGACACAATGCCGAGCATCTCACCTGTAAAAGTACACATGCAGAGCTGTAAGTACTGCGTTATTACTACATGTCAGACGTGATAATGGCTAAGTCTGTTTCTGTCTCATATGCCTCTGTCTCTGCATAACTAGTCACTGTGGCAGCAGCAGCAGGGTCCACACCCAGAGGATCTTCAGGAGCAAACAGGTTTTCAAATGAAAGGTTTCAGAACTGGAGTACAATTGTTTTCTCTGCAAAGCTGAGCCTGAACTTGAACTTTTATATATTGTCTTGTTCTTGTTTTTGTGTGTTCTGGCCACGTTCCAGTGATGTTCCTCTAATAGCATGGTTGTATGCTGGCTGTATGGTGGAAGAAAACAGTAAATAAGGGAGAAACAGTTGATTTTGTATATAAGACAGTTTTGTTCTAGTTGTGAATGTTTCTTTTGTTTCTATAAATATAAACTGATTGTAAATATAAAAGTGTAAATAAATAGTTTTCTGCAAAAATATCAACACAGTTTTCTTCTTAGAGTTCACCTATATGTTTCTATATCTGTGTGTGCTCCCCATCAGGTAATCAGTTTAAATAAGTTGTGAGCGCTGCCCTGAAAGCTTACATATTATTTCTAAATCACTTCATGTAATGATAACAAGTCATCCTAGAGCAGTCTCACAGCTTTTATCTTCATAATCTTTCTGTTTTCATTTATATTATTAGAAACATGACTGCTGTCTTTTATCTGTGTGACTGTACAGCCTGTGTCAGACATGACCCCCACACAATGTCTGACGTTATCTTTAATACATGCAGCACAGCTGGAGCTGCAGACACTTTCTCACTTCTGGTGATAATATATTTGATGTAGGTATTGTTGCTTGCTAGCTTGAAGCTTATCTACAAAAGTAATTCAATAAGGAGAGATCACGTGGAAAAACTCAACATGATTTATTGAGATACAGAAATAAATGTAACTGTTTGGCAGTTATGAGCCATCATAGCAGAAAGAATCCCAGCAGTGACAGGATGTTGCACAACCACCACCCCAGAGTCAACATGCTGATAGTAATGAAGATGAAGATGGAGGCTGGGACAGGGCTCTGAGTGACCACGGTGAGGAGGAGAAAGGAGAGGAGGCGGGCTGCATGGCTGCAGATCTGAAATGCAGAAGAGCAACCGATTTAAAGCATGCAGAGTGGAGGCTGGCAAGAGCATGACTGGAATAAAGCAACGATGTCAGTACTGAGTTTGTGCTGGAAAATGAATAGACATAAACTAACAGCCACCAGGAAGCAGACAGATGATTTATCACAGACATGCCTTATTGAAATTATGTATAAGCTTCATGTTCTATGTCATCAGAATGTATCTGTATTATAGTTTTAGCTTTAGTCTTTGTATTAAAAGTTGGATGTCTCCATAATTGTAGACTATATGTCTGCTATGTATCATCTCAAGACTGTGATGATACAGTTTAGTCTGAGTTATGCACTTTGTGACAGTATAGGTGCAGAAAAATTGCTCCACAGGCCATAACACTATATAATATAAATAAAATGATAATGAACTAAAAATTAAAAAATAAATGTTATCCACAATAAGTAGATTGAAAATGGTGTTTAACTTTTGATAATGTAACACAACCTTTGTCCCAACCAGGACTCGAACCCGCGCTCAGACAGTTCAGTGTAAAAAACAATCTTTTTTTTCCAATGCCTGAAAAGCTGCGATTTGATTGGCTGTTTCTCCGTTACACCTATACGTGATGGGCCCCGCGGAGACAGGAAGTGTTTTTATGACTGAAACACTGAGGCTGTGTCCCAATTCAGGGTCTGCACGCTTGAAGTACACATTTTAAGTGCGATTACGTCACCGCCACGCGACGACGGCTGTCCCAATTTGAAGTGTGCTTCAAATGCATACTCATATATACTCATATATATACATATATATATATATAATATATATATGTATATATATATATATAGTGTCCCCTGCTCTGCATCATTAGAACATTAACAGACCAACAAATATAAGTGTCCCAACCAGACAATGATTTGGAGACTATAGAGGACGTATTTAACTTAACTACAGTAAGGATACAGCCAGGATTTTAGTTTAAGAGGCCCTGTTATACATATATGGTACAGTACTGTTTCATATACGTAGGTCAGTGTATGTGCAGGTAATCCATGTAGCTCAGTTCCTTATACTTTTGACTCAGTACAGTGTCAACAGAGGGGATTCCCTTATAGAGTCGCCTCAGTTATTTCTGATGTTTTGGTCATTAAATTCCCCAAATGATACCAAGGACATGGAATCCACAGTCTCAGCATCCCACAGCATCCACAGCATCCCACGGCATCCCACAGCGTCCCACAGCGTCCCACAGCATCCACAGCATCCCACCACAGCGTCCCACAGCATCCCACAGCGTCCCACGTATCCCACAGCGTCCCACAGCATCCCACAGCGTCCCACAGCGTCCCACAGCATCCCACAGCGTCCCACAGCGTCCCACAGCCCGCTCCCACAGCGTCCCACAGCAGTGTCAGGTGACTTTCAGTGAAGGTTATGACACAATGACAGTGTGATGATAACAAAGAGAAGCATGAGTCATTATCTCGTCATTACTTGGACTTTATTGTTGATTTTAGCACTTCACACTAGCATTAGCTGGTTTCCCTCCTTTGGAGTAAACTACCAATCAGACAGCACATCTGAGCTGCTGTCACACAGTCAGATACAGGAAAGCATGACAGCAACAACACGCTCAAAGCTGAACATCATTTGCATGTTAAGAATTTTACTGCAAGAAAGAAATAGTGCAAAGCTGAACATAGTGAGTTTGCTTTATGTATGATAAAGTCCTGTTGACAAATCCAGTGCATGAATGTGAATGACCTGTGAAATAAAGTGTGCGTGCCGTGTTCAGTCTGACGTGAAACATCAGAATCTCTGTCTTCATTTTACTGATTTCCTCTTTCATTGCCAGCATGTGTGCTCAGAGGCTTTCACAGTGCATTATAAGCACGTCGTGGCTTTGTGTCCCTCGCTCTGCATCATTAGAACATTAACAGACCAACAAATATAAGTTTGTCATACTTTATCGATGAAATCTGGGAGAATATAAATAACATCTGTAGCAGAAGCAGTGTGTCACTCTTGGTCTTGCAAGACAATTTTGCGTCCAGTTGTTAATTCTTGAACAATGTGCACCAATCTCTTACAAAGATGTGGTTTGCTATGGTTCTCTGACCCAACCTGGTTACTAAAGTACTGAAAACGAGGAGACAACATTACAACAACGTGCCAAATAAGCTAGGTCCATCATGTGATCTGCCAAAGTTTAAGGCGTGGATTTTGGTACGACTTCTAAAGGTCTGTGTTTCCGCAACCAAGACGTTGCTTCAGGCCGTCTACATCCTGTGGTTCTGAACTTCGGATGGACAAATGGCAGCAGCCGTTTATCAGAAGCACCCAGACTGCTCTTGGCGATGGTCTGACTCAGTCCTCGGGCCACGACCTCCCCTGTAAGCGTTGTTTGGTGTTTGCACCTGCACGTGTCCTTTGCTTCCAGCAAAATGATTGTGACAGCGGGGCATTCAGCATCCAGCAGATGTTATATCTGCAATATGCAGCCGCAGTTTTTCACAGTTACCTGCCTGCTATACCCAAGAGACGTGATGATTTATGGTGTCGGCCCTGTTATCACAGAATGGGCCACGTGACCAGTTAAAGTGGTGACAAACTGTTGGCTCTGTCGAAACGAAAGTAGTTATTGGGGCTAAAAAAGCATTTACAGCCTATTAACCGAGAACGCTATCGCTGGGTGATTTACACCCGAGCAAATACATTTACATGATTTCTCTCTCCTGCAGCTGTTTGCGTGTCGAGGAGCCTGTGCCTTCACCAGGGAAGTCTCAAATGTCCCAGGAATGGGTGGACCAAAGACCAGCTTTCCAGAGTCATTCTTTTGTTTTAGGAGGGTTTTTCTTTCATTTTGTTAGACATGGCACAGTTGAAAGTAAAAGAAGACCACTCTAATTTGTCATGTGTTGTCATATTTTGATATATTTGATTACTTTTTATTGGTTATATTATATCGGGTAAAAATCACCCGGCATTAGCGATTGTGTTACTATTTATAGCGATAGTGTTCTAGGGTTAAACGTGCAAGAGAGCTGATGCAGTCTCCAGCGAGTCCATCATCAGCTGGGCTGATTCATGACCAGAACGTCCAAGTGTGAAGTCAGTGAATCAGTGCTGGCCTGGTGCTGAACAACGTGAGGCTGAAGGGACTGTGGAGACATCAGCACATCACATTTTACATTGGTTTATTATAATGTGCTTCTAGTAAGGACAAAAGCACAGACACCAACCTCCTGATCTGCGGAGCAGTGGTGGTAGAGGAACTTCGTCTCAGCGTCTTAGTAGAAGAAGGGGTGAGGTGGACTTTGGAGGCTTCGGGGGAGGGAGGATGGAGCGGTGTGAAGTCTTGGACAGGTTTAACCTGACACAGAAAACAAGAACACCTCATATTTGTGTGTGTGTGTGATCCAAGAGCAAATAAAACTTGATCCTTCACAGAAACAAGCACAACGAACAACTTCTCCAAAATCCTTCTGATTTCTACGCTCACTGCAGGAATCAACATCTGCACTCACACTCTGTACAAGAGACGAGATACAAACACGCTTCGACGTGTGGGAGGTACCTGATTTAACCTCCGTGGAAGCCCAGCTCTTGGTTGTGTCAGGTTAGCAGTTTGGTGATGTTAGTTTACAGGAGAAGCCGGAGGCACGTCGTGAGTTTGGTTCGTGGTCGTCCTTTGGTTTCTTTTTGCCGCAGCTCTCATATCCCCGATTTGTAACTATTTACTTTTTATAAGATGTTTCTTGAACTATGGCAGCTTCTTATATATCTGCTATATTTGTGCCGTGGATTCAGGGACCCAAACAAAAACTGTAGTGAGCAGAGGTATTATCTACTGATTGTGTGTCTGGCTGCAGCCAAGGATGGAGAGCAGAGGCAGCGGGCAGGCCAATCGAAACGCAGCTCAGGCCGCGGCTGCAGCAAAAACTTGGGCGTAGGAGGAGCGATTCTGGCAAAGCGTCAGGAGGGGAAGTGGTGCTCCACCAACACGGTGTACAGTAAAGATGGAGGCCTGCTGGCTCCAGCTGAGGACACCGTCAGGCAGTAGAAGGAATACTCTGACAACCTCCAGAACCTTAATCTCACTCATAACTAAAGTCGCCAAAAGACAACAACTTCTCCTGTTGCATTTAGGTTTCAGTTTAACCGAAGAACAAAGAAGGACACATGAGCTCGAGCAGGTTACACACAACATTCACGCTGCACAGATGAGAACACAGCAGGATTTCATGCAGTCCGGTCTGCCTGTTAGACAGCGTGCAAACAAAGCGTGCGTTCTTTGTAGCATTCGACAACAGTCACTTACGTACTTTCTGACATCCACAAAAACATATTGGTGTCTATTATCTCTCCTTGTTATAGAAACTTTGTTTCCAGCGTTTGAGCTAATTCTCTACGTGTCTCTTGCACTGACCACAATAACCATCTATCATTAATTACATTACAGATGTTGGTACCTTGAGCAGGATGACGCTGATCTCGGTGGGCGTTTTCCCTTCAGTGCTCTCAGTTCGTCTCCCTGTGTCAGACTGACTTCTTTGCAGTTATTCTGCACAGACACATTAGCAGCATGAAAACACAACATTGTGATCGGAACTCAGTAGCCTGTTTGAATTCTGCAGTAACCATTAAGAAAAGGTGCTATGAAGTCACACCGCTGACCTCATCCAAGCTATATGACTTGCAGAGCACGGTGTTGATTGACAGGTCATCCATGCTGGAAAGCAGCGAGGACACTGCCTCCTGTTTGCCTCCCTGCACAGAGTCAGAGCGGTGCAGCTGCTGCTGCAGCTGCTGCTGCCGACTCAGTCTCTGTTGGACCAGCTTCTGTTTAGACCGATGCACGTCACCCTGAACCCACAAACTGTGCTGCTTCCTGCACACAAACATCAAACACACGCCACAAACTGACTGTGATATCACGTTTAGCAGGTACAACATTCAACATCCTGGTTTAGCGTGTAAGTAGACACACAAAGCTAGTAGCCATTAGCAACAGAGCGCTACTGTGGCGTAAGGAGGAAGTGTGCGTCCAGAGCTGAGGAGAGAAACCAGCTGCACACTGTGACTGCAGTCTGCAGCAGTATCACAGTTTCAGGCTTTTTTAAATTCGATTCGATTCATCATCCACCAGTTTCCCACTGCTGCAGTCACCACCAGCTGCACATGGGCACCCTGGGGAATGCCCCACCCTGACCTCCACCTTTTGCTTCTCTTCTAACATTTCCAGCATGCTCCAACCATGACCTCAGCATGGAGAAACATCCTGTGTGCTAACAGCAATAGATGCCACAGCCTAAGGACAGACGGGCCTTGTTTGTCCAGCACATCTCACAGATGCTCGATGAGACTGAGATCTGCCGACGTTGAAGGCCAAGGTGACCCCTCAAACCCTTCCTGATCTACTTGTGCTTTGTGTGAAGACTCCAGCGACACTCGAAGTATTAGAGAACAGCTGTACTCAGTGGCCAACGCCTTTTGGGTCATTGCAAAATGTCAAACAGCTTGTGTTTAAATAAAAAAGACTGGAAACAGAAAAAGATCCAAGTGGACCAATCACACCTTCACAAACGCAATGACCCTGATGAAGGCCACTAACACGTTATGGTTCCCTGATACTCTGTGACTGGAGTCTTCACCTCGTCAGATCTTTGTCTTCTCCGTGCACCTTGGAGGTGAAGCTGCCGTCTGCTTGTGTTTTGTGACATTATCCTAATGAAGTGTTGCAGACGTGTCTGTGTGCACAGCATTACTCCTGTACTTCATGAACGGACTACAGCTTAATGATTGTCTCCGACCGAGACCTTTGGAGTCACGGAAAGTGGGCCGTTTGGTTTGAGCGGTCACAGCTGAGGCACAAACTCACTCTTCTAAGAAGTTTTGCTGTGGACCGATGATAGATCCAGGTCTGCAGACTCTGATCCAAGCAATCGCCTCGGCTGCAGTAAACCGGAAGTGCTTCATCAGGTAGCAGCCAATCAGAGTGCCCGTGCGGCCTAATCCAGCTGTAAATGGATGGAGTGTTTAAAGAGACAAAGTTAAGATAAAAGAAATAAATGACATCAATTAAACATAAAGACTTGCAGTCCTACCTTTACAGTGCACCGCCACTGCCCCGTCTGTACTTTCACACACATGCAGAAAGCGTCTGACGATGAGGTCAGAGGGCGTGGTCCATCAAGGAAGAAGAGGTCGTGGTGCTCAAATCCTGCATCCTCAAACCGCCTGCCATCATACAACGTCCTGTTCAGACGAACCACGGTCGTTATGTCATTTTGGCAAAAGTATGAGAAGTATGCCTCGGGTGTGTGGAGGGATAACCTGGAGACAGAGTCAACAACAGCTGAGTTACGTCATACGTTTCAATCAGCGAGCGTCTGTTTTTAATGCGAACGTAAAATAAGATTCAATGACGTAGTGTCAGCTGATTTATGTTGTAAGGTAAAGACGTTAAATACAGAGAAAACCCAACGATCGGACGGCCCCAAGCACCTGCTGACAGCGGGAAAGAAAAACTCCCTTTTAACAAGAACCAGGCTGAGGAGGGGGCGCAATCTGCTCATGTGGTCGGGGTGGGGGAGGACAACAGGACAAGAGATGGACGAGAGCCAGAGGGAATAATAACTACGTGCAAAGTGGTGTAAATACACAGAAAGTAAAAGAGCTGAGGGATGGAGAAGCATGAGTGCATCATGGGAAACCCCGAGCCACTGCAGGGTTCAGGCTCGTCTAATCCAGCCGTAACAACACGACAGCACTAAGCAGGAAACAATGCACGCCGTCAGAAGACAGCAGGGTAAGGTTAGCTCTTCTCAGCTGCTTCAGGACGTGCAGGCACTGAGGGGCTGCACAGGCCTTCTGTCAGCCCAGCAACGTGAGCACTGGTGTTGGTTTGGAGGCATGCTTTTAGCTTTTAGCTTAGAGATTCTGACTCACCACGAGAATGAGGGCTACTGAACGCCAGAACTTTGCCCGGAACGATCCAGTTCATATCTCCATTTTCAACTCGCTAAAAGCACAAAAAGAAAGGAAAGACTGTGATAGAGGTTAGCCACATATCAGTTAAAACATGGATCCAGAACACCTTAATTATACCACCACTGCAGTAATGAACACGTACGGGCTTTTACCTTTCATTGGAAATCAGTTTTGTTGACCTTTACTTCACTGACTGTCTATCACTTGGACGGGTGAGCTATGGATCAATCTAACTGAGAAACTGAGGAAGTACAGCGTGCACCAAGGCAGGCCTGGACATCGTACGAGCTCTTGGTTGGCCCTGACTGTGTTACTAACAGCACTGCAAATAAACTGGATGAATAACAAGCGTACGTTAGTTATTTCTTCCTGTATCCTGGTCCTGTTTGCATTGATATGACCTGTAGCACAGTCTCTGCAGTCTGTTACCTCATAATGTTCATATTCTTCTGCACTGAACCTTTCAAAATCCAGGAAACCATGTTGTAATGCCTGCAGAGGAAAAGAGCAGGAACAGATTTTCACAACAAAAGCACAACTCCCCCCAAAGGCTGAAATGTTTAGTGTTATAGTGATCTGCAGTGGTTTCACAGATTCAGTTCAGTTTTTCTTAGCACCAAATCACAACAACGGTCACCTCAGGCAGTTAATATTGTACGTAAAGACCCTACAGAGGAAACACAATCAGACCACGAGCAGGCACACTGGTGACAGTGGGGAGGAAACACTCGTTTTAACAGAAACACATGTTCACCAGAACCAGGCTCAGGGAGGGCGGCAATCTGACTGACTGCTGAAGGCTTTTCAGGGAGTTTTTAGGACTTCCTGATAATAATGAATTACAGTCGTCCAGCCTGGAAGTAATAAATGCATGAACTAGTTTTTCAGCGTCACTCTGAGACAGGATATTGTAACTTTAGAGATGTTGCACAAATGGAAGAAAGCAGTCTTACATATTTGTTTAATATGTGCATTGAAGGACATGTCCTGGTCAAAATGACTCCAAGGTTCCTCACAGTGTTACTGGAGGCCAAGGTAATGCCATCCAGAGTAAGAATCTGCTTAGATACCATATTTCTAAGCTTTTCAGGGCGAGTACAATAACCTCAGTTTGATCTGAATAAGAAGCAGAAAGTTAGCGGCCATCCAGGTCTTTATGTCTTTAAGACATTCCTGCAGTTTAACTCATTGGTGTGTGTTATCTGGCTTCATGGACAGATAGAGCTGGGTGTCATCTGCATAGCAGTGTAAATGTATGCTATGTCTTCTAATGATGCTGCCTAAGGGAAGCATGTATAATGTAAACAGAATTGGTCCTAGCACTGAACCCTGTGGAACTCCATAATTAACCTCAGTGTGTGAAGAGGACTCTCCATTTACATGCACAAACTGGAGTCTATTAGATAGATATGATACAAACCACTGCAGTGCAGTACCTGTAATACCTACAGCATGTTCTAATCGCTCTAATAGGATATTATGGTCGACAGTATCGAACGCTGCACTGAGGTCTAGCAGGACAAGCACAGAGATGAGTCCACTGTCAGAGGCCATAAGAAGATCATTTGTAACCTTCACTAAAGCTGTTTCTGTGATGAGCTCTGAAACCTGACTGAAACTCTTCAAATAAACCTCTGCAGATATCTGTTAGCTGTTTGACAACTACTCTTTCAAGGATGTTTGATATAAAGGAAGGTTGGAGATTGGCCTATAATTAGCTAAGACTGCTGGGTCTAGAGATGCTTTTTGAGTAAAGGTTTAACTACAGCCAGCTTGAAGGCCTGTGGTACATAGCCGATTGTTACATCCTGGGAGGCTGTGGGAGTGTGTGGGCGTGGTGTTGTCTTCTCCCTCTCCTCCTCCTTCGTTCTGGCCCCTCCCCTTGTCTCTCTCTGCCCCTGCCTTCTCCTTTAGGTCACACCTGCTGCTCATCTGCTCTCGTTACAACCAATTACCCTCAGGGGTGATATAAGCTGGAGAAGAGCAGTGTGGAGGAGGAGGGAGAGGTTTCTGGTGGATTTCCTCTGTGCGGGTCAGAGTGTGTTACTGGCTTAGGTGTGGAACAGCCTGCTGCGTGTGGCTCTTTGTGAGTAGTGCTTAACTGAGCAGTGATTGCCCATGAGTGACGGCAGCCTTCACTAGTTTGTGTGGCCTGCCTGGATATTGTTTGCTAGCAGTGTTGCTGTCTCTTTCTGTTGAAGCCTTATTGTTGCTTCCTTTGTTGAAGTGGTCATTACCACTTTGGGTTGATCTCCCTGATTTCTCATTAAAGCAGCGGTGCTGTCTCCTTTTGTTGTTGCCATTTATATGATTATTGAGGTGTTTGCCTACAATAAAGATCTATTTTATATTAAATACCTCTGCCTGGCGTTCTTTTCATTCCACCTGGATCTAACTGTTACTGTCCCCCACCCTCATCGCCTAGCTTTTAAGTGGGGACGTAACACCAATTATTAGAGATAGGTTGATCATATTTAAGATCGAAGCATTAATTAATGTCAGGACTTCTTTGAGCAGTTTTGTAGGAATGGGGTCTAAAAGACACGCTGATGCACTGACTATTTCTTCTTTAGTCGTTTGTTTTTCAATTCCTGTGTGTTTGTACATCACTGAAGTATTTAATCATTAGTAATTATTAAACTCCTTTGTCTCTGCTCTTACCCCTCACCTGTCACAGTGAACTGCTGCCTCCTTAAACCTGGTTCTGTTGGAGGTTTCGTCCTGTTGGAAGGGAGTTTTTCCTTCCCACTGTTGCCAAGTGTGTACTTCTAGTGCAGTGCTGCAGGCTCTTTACCTTATAAGTTAAAGTACCTTGAAGTAACTGTAGCTTAGAATTAGTGCTATGAATAAAACTGAATTCAATTACTGTTGTTACAGAATAAGAGAACAATTTCAAATGTGGCTCAAACTGGGATTTTTTGCGTTAAAATGAGGTGTGACACAAATGAAGTTACTAAGTGTCATTTTAATGTTACTAAAATCTTCTGTGTTAGACGTTGTTGCTACCTTGTTGATTCCTTGTAAGCAGTTCAGCACGGTGAGGTTAAAAGAGCACTCTCCAACCGCTGCGTCTCTGTGGCACACACACACACACAGACACACACAGAGACACACACAGACAACACAGACACACAGACACACACAGACACACACACAGAGACACACACGACACAGAGACACACACAGACACAGACACACACACCACAGACACACACACACAGAGACACACAACAGAACACCACACACAAAAACAAGAACCACACACACACACACACACACACAGACACACACACAGAGACACACAGACAGACACACAGACACACACAGAGACACACAGACAGCACACACAACACAGACACACAGACAGACACACACACACAGAGACACACACACACGACACACACACACAGAGACACACACACACACAACACACACAGAACACACAGACAGACACAGACACACACACACACACACAGAGACACACACACACAGACACACACACACACACAGAGACACACCACACAACACAACACACACAACACACACACACAGACACACACACACACACAACACACACACACACAGACACAGACACACACACACACACAGAACACACACCACACACCACACAAGACACACACACACACACACACAAGACAAACACACAACACAGAGACACACAGAGACACACACACACACCACAGACACACACACACACACACAGAGACACAACACAGACACACACACACACACAGAGACACACACACACAGAGACAGAACCAACACACACACAGACACACACACACACACCACAGACACACAGACACACACCACACACACAGAGACACACACACCAGACACACACACACACAGACACACACACACACACACACACACAGACACACCACACACACACACACACACACACACAGACACACACACACAGACACACACACACAGACACACACACCACACACAGACACGACACACACACACAGACAGACACACACAACACACACACACAAGACACACACACACAGACAACACAAACACACACACAACACACACAGCACACAGACACACACACACACACACACACACACACAACACACCACACACACACACCACACAGACACACACAACACACACAACACACACAAGACACACAACACACACACAGAACACACACACATCACACACACAAACACACACACACAGAACACACACACACAGACACACACACACACAAAACACACACAGACACACACACACACAGACACACACACAACACACACAGACACACACACACACACACACACACACACAGAAAGAATACAGTAACAGTAGTGTAGTTAGGCTTCAGTCTCAGGCTTGTTTGCACTGTAAATAAACACAAACCATCACTAAGAGTAAAAACTAAGCAGCACCTGCTCAGCTGAGCTCAGGACTGGGGGGGACACGTTAGCTCAGTCTACATGAATGACATCAACCCACTGGCACCGCTAAAGCTCACTAAGAGCTCATAAACTGTAACAATTCATTCAAATTTCTGAATTCAGTTTTATTTATATAGTGCCAAATCACAACAGCAGTAAAACCCTACAATAACACGGGAACATGTTCCCATCCCAAACTTAAAAGTGTGGGTTTGATGAGGTTTCCTGACCTCCTGGAACCTTCATGGTCGCCAAATAATCTCCAGCTAGGTGGAGTTTCTTCTTGTTACCCCTGCTTGCAGTCTTTATGCTAAGCCAAGCTGGATTTAACAGACAGTGTCTCAGTAAATGTAAGGACAACAGCCCAGCATGAAGCGCTGTTTCGTAGAAAGCAGCAGCCTGTACCTAAACGGCATGTAGCCTGTGCTGTTTCCTGCTATCAGAGTCCTGTAGGCATCTTCTGGGCTTCTCTTCAGATACATCACCTACAGGGCAGAGTTAAACGACATAACTCATAATGCACAGACAGACGGGCAATCAGATGATGTGATGGACGAATGAAAGGATATTTACAGCATAGGCACCAATCAGAACAGCAGCATTGGCTCTCTTCTTCTGGTCGTAGCTGGTGTAGTGAACCAGGCTCTTTCTAGACATTGTGAAAGACTACAAACCAATAATGATAATCAATAATCAGTGAAAACAGCACATGTGCATTAATACATTTAAAATAAGCGTCTACTGTCAGAGGAGTGCACACACACCATCAGAGCAAAGACCTTTCAAAATAAGAGCGTAACGCGTTTTCTAAACGATGTCTGTACAGCAAACAAAGCCCTGAGTCTGAAGACCTTCATTACCTTCAGCTTCTTGTTGAGTTTCCAGCAGTATCTGTACAGCATGGCCAGGTTGAGGGGCCCAAAGTCTGCATAGAAACTGCAACACACAGTGAGAGAGATGGAGGAGCTCTCAACAATTACAACACAACAACACACAAAACTAAACCCACTGACAGGTGAAGACAGTGACATTGTTCATCTGGTCATAATAAAATGCTCCGTTAGAAAACCTCGGGACCTTTATCTGGATGTTTCCACCCACACAATGCAGACATGGAGTCAGAGGAAGCTCACAGCTTTGTTTCACTCAATGAAACCAACTCAAATCCTGTTTGTCTGCTGCAGAAAAGAAAACGATTACCAAGGCTGGAACGTGACAGACGAGCAGGGCTGCAAGTCCGTCTTTGTCCCTAACACCACAGCCTGATACCAGATTACTCATCATCATATTCAGTAAGTCGGCCAACAGCACGAATGACAGGAAGAGGATTTCAAAGATTGTCAAGCACTGAAAGCTGTCACGTCGGGGTCGACGCAGCATTTTGACTTCTCTTGCTTTGGTTTGTTTTTGAATGATCGTTTTTCTTCTCTGGTGCTTTGTTGATTATTATTATTTATTGTTTCTGTGGTTCTGGTTTTGCTCTCAGGTTTTGTGTTCCCATGTTTGCTGTGGGTTTGATGTGTGTCCAGTCTGCGTCTTTGTGTAGTGATCTCTTGTGTTGCCTCCCTTGTCTCCTCTCGTTAATTACTTCCACCTGTGTGTAATCTCCCCGTGTTTCTCTGAGTGCATTTAAGTCGTGTCTTCTGTCGTTGCTGGTCCGTCTGTGTATCTGGCATGTTTCACCCGTGTGTCCTGCCCCCCCTCCTTCATGTTCGTCTTCTGCTTTGTGTTTAGTAGTTTAGTTATTCCCAGTATAGTTTAGTTATTCCCAGTATAGTTTAGTTTAATCTTCGTTTGCCATTTTTTCCCTGTGCTCTGTGTTCCATAAACCACCTTCACGACTGCCTGCAATTGGATCCTCCTTTATTTCCTCCACTCGCCGTGACAAAAGCCATCTCAGTTTACCCATGGACCACCTACCCGGTTAATCACAGCTCAAACACCCGCTCTGTGACAGACACTCTGACACTGTGATATATCCCATGATACTGATGCTCAGAGTTGAGCATCAGGAACTTTGGCTACGTTCACACTGCAGGCGAAAGCGCATCAAATCCGATTTTTTGACCCTATGCGACCATCTATCCGATCATGGTGTGACAGTGTGAACGGCACAAATCCGATATTTTCAAATCCGACCTGGGTCACTTTGGTATGTGGTGCTGAATCCGATACATATCCGATGTTTTAGAAAGCGACTGCTGTTTGATGGTCACGTCGCATTAAATCCGTCTTTTACGTCACTGACACAAGACAGACGCCGATTATCAGCTCCGGAGAAGACATGGTGAACACTTCCTGTCCGTCCAGTGAAACTGTTGGGAAGACAACGTTGGAGAAACGTGAACATTTATTTGTCCTGTATAATCTGCAGATTCTGATCCTTTGAAGCAGCGCTCCTCTAAAATAACAATAAGGATCATTATTAGGTTATTTACATTATTATGTAAATAACTTAAAGCAAAAACTGGGAAACGTGAAGTCCAAAGTCTTTATATTAAGGCCATCAGTCAAACATCCTGTTGCTCTGGGTCTAAACAGAGCGCGTTGTGTGTGACGTCTGCTTTTGCGCATGCGCCGCTTTGAGCGTTCACACTAGAGCGCGTTTGCTGCCACATTTTATTTGTAGAGTGAACGAGCAGACAAAAACATCTGATTTGATCCAAAAATCTGAATTGAGCTTTAAGATCTTAGAGTTCCTTAAAAGTCCTGAGAGGTCAGGAAATGCTGGAAACCAGTTTCCACCCAGCCCTGTGTACTGGGATGGCCTGTAGCTCCACAGTGTGAAGGTGCACATATAAACGCACAGATGGAACATTTTTCCGAGGCTGTTTCACCTCTGATCTGTCTCTCATCGGTGTGTAATTAAAACAATTTTATATCCTAAAATAGATGCAGATCGTTTAAGGAACCAGAACTCGTGCGTGCTCAGTCAGGGGTTATGACCACAGGCCGGGACCAGATGGTTCACAGGGGTTTATGGCATCAGTCACGCTGGTGATACATCAACAGACATTTTCATGGGAAAAACAGTGCACATGTATCAACATGACGACACAGGGTTCGATGAAGTTCTCCACAAGGATGTGGACTTCATGTCTTCTTCACTGACGTATGAGCTGTTACTGTTGGAGGGTTGACGGCGTGCGTCTCATGTCACACTCCTCCACAGTGAGGATGGACTCATTGATACGAGCCTCTGGTGACTGCACTTCAAAACAAGGAGTGATTCAACTGCTCTGCTAGTGAAGCATCACCTGGGGCAGCTCTGACTGCTCCTGTACTTGGTGATGTGCTGCCCTCCTGACACACCTGCCTGCTGTTGTTGCTGTCCAGGTGATCTTCCACCTGTAGTGTCATTTGGCCTTTCAGAGGCCTCGCTGCACCGTCACTCACTCTGAAGGCAGCCGGTGGAGGTCCCCGGTCATCCAGGGCTTGTGGTTGGGATAGACCAGGTGACACCTCCAGGTCTGGATGTTCAGAAATGTCCTGGTGGTGTGGAGACAGTCCTGCAGCTGCTGTAAGGCTTCATCAGGCCAGGTTCTGATAGTCTTCGAGGTGGCCAGAGCAGCTGTCCTGAGAGGAAGCAGCTTCCTGCTCACATCCAGGCGGCGACACTGTAAGAAGCCCTTTCAGGGTCTCCCCACCTATTAGAAGTTTTACCGTCCCACTGTTCCCGGCCCTGCTCACTGGGAATTGTCCAATTAGAGTTTTCTCTCTAATGTTGTAGGTTGTTTACCTACAAAGGGCCTGGATGTAACTGATGCTAAATGACCAGTTAACCTAACATGAATGAACGTGCATGTCTTTGGACCGAAGCAGAGAAAACGTGTAAACTCCAACCAGAAAACCATAGTTTGAACCAGGACACCATCCCTCCGGGTGGAGCCGTGGACATCTTCTAACAGTATAACGGTAATCAGAGACCAGTAATGAGAAGTCAAGGAAGGACAGGCCCATGACTGTCAAAAGGCGTGTCTCTCTGAAATGAACAGGTGGGATATTAATGAGATCAAAGGAGTTTCTAAAGGACACGAAACAACAAAAACAGAGGCAAACAAAGTTAATCTGTTACGAAAGAGGCATCAGAAAGAAAGGATCTGTAGGAGCGTGTGCTGACAGGGAGCAGGAGCAGACTGTTGACACGTCATGATTGGGGATCAGACTAGATTACGGCTGCAGCTTACCTTTCATATATGAGCTCCTCATCCGTGCTGAAGAAGTGTGTGTTGGCTGTATTCTTAGGTTTGACCCGCAGAGTGGCAAAGTACAGGCGGTCTGTGGTGTACAGTACACACACACACACACACACACACACACACACACACACACACACACACAGGTTACATTCAGCCTCACACACAGTCCTGGCTTCAGGTCAAGGATACAGGGCGATAACGCTCTCTTGTCCCGATCACACCGAGCTGCTGACTGCATCCAGGTATTTTTGGTGTCTCGGTTACAGCACAGGATCAGTTCCCCTCATTAACTGCTGCTGAAACCGAGGCAGGACCCAAATCTCCTGCCCTTACGTGACACACTGGTGCTGCTTACTTAACCTGATTTAGCCAAACAACCTCGCACTACTGAAATGCTTCTTTTACCAGATCAGGGAACAATGGCTTTATAAACTTTAACTAAACTGTAATATTTGACTCTATGAGTGAGTGAGCTGTGGGACACTGGGCTACAACCTGCCCCAACTGTTAGCCTGTAAGTTTCAACCTTTCAGCTACATATAGTTCTACATGTACTCATGAGTAATTAGGCTGCTTCAGTAAACCTGGAAAGCAAGTTCTGCAGTGATAGCTGAAAAGAGAAAACTTATTCCTGGAAACGAGCTGTGAAGCTGACCTGGACCTGCACGGACTCACTTTACCAGGATTCTTGTTACCGTCTTAATGCACAGCTATTACAGTTTATATCATGTTAATTATAGCAGACACCGCTGAAAACGATCCAGCATCCTCCAGGCCAAAGGCCGACCAGCTGCCCCACAGTCCTGTCAAGAGTTATTGATCCACAACAATGCTGATGAAGAACCTACAAAATAATCAGAAATGTCCTCGTCTCTTGTTTCGTTAGTGTCCCCCTGATGGAGACTATCGTGGTCAGTGTAACTCACACTGAATCACGCTGGTTTAGCTTTGTTTAATGAGCCAAAGTGAACGAGCAGTTCAGTCCTGTGTATTTATGTCCACGCGCGCTCTCAGTCACGCGCATGGAAATATTGCAGGCTGTAGTTTCTTATAGAAACCATTACGCAGTATTACATCCCAGGACTGATGTTAAACTTACCCTTAATAAACTCTGATGCGCTGGCCTGCTCATATCCATCTGCCATTTGTTACAGTGGGAATGGTCGCGTCACAGTGACTTTGTCCTCTTCTTGGTTATCTGTTGTGAGACCACTTCAGATGTTCCAAAAATACCAAGAGTTCACTACAGAATATCATTTCACCTCCGTCACTACTGTAAATGAAAAGCGTCCAACTTTAAAGTCTCCCCGCCCGCAGCTGACGAGGAGCATGCGTAAAGTCTCCAAAGTCCCCCCAAACCGAGTCGCTCCGCTCCGCTCCACGGCCTGAACCGAGAGGTTTCCGCTCCTCCATGCCTGAACTACAACGAATATTCCAGCAAGTAGAAGATATACAGGGCAGCCCAGAGTCGTGGCAGCGATAATCTCTCTGCTGCCTCGCACATGCTCAGTCAATGGTCACATAAACGCGCGCACGCACACATCACCGGCCGCGCTGCCGAAGCCTGCTGGAGCTGGATTTAAACAGAAATCCCCCTTTCCCAGTAACAGAAACGGGATATATATTTATATACATTTATATATATTATATATTTCAAGGCTGCTACAAAATGCACCGTTTGCTTATTTGTATTTGACGATCAGCGTGAACGTTACAAAAGTAACACCACAAAGTCATTTATGCTGATGGCATTTCCCTCCCGTGTCTGAGTGGCCTCCCTCTTGCACACGTTGCGTGTTTGTGCTATGATGAGCTGGGTTGGGTCTGCATGGAGGACTGCACTGTGGTGTGTTCCCATCACCCAAAGGTGGAAAGTCCTGAGTGCCAAATGTCTGAGCTGCCTGACTGAACTGTGACTTCCACAGGCCGCTAGCTAAGTCTGCACTTGCATCACTTAGTTTTTTAATCAAATGTTTGCTTGGTTATTAAACAGAAATGTTTAGAATGGCTACAGTTACATGCATTGATTTCTAAAGGGGCTCCGTACCCCACACGGTGCTGTCACAGCTGTTAGTGGGCCTGTCACCACTGACTGGAAGACCTCCACACCATTAGACTGCATTACTGTTGGATGAGCCTCACACAGACTCATTTTAACGAGATGTCACTTTTCCCACGTGTCTCTGTTTCTGTGCTGGGACAAGAACGGGACAGCAAAGCTTCGAAGAATCTCACATATAAAACATGTTTTCAGACTTTTTGGTTTAATTCCACATTGTGATGTCTGCTACAGTGTAAATACTTATGAAAATAAAGAAAAACGATCAAATGAGAAGCTGCATCCAAACTTTCTGTTCTTTTTTTAAAATATATTTTTGTCTTTATTAGACAGATGCAGTGAAAACTGACAGGAAAGTGAGAGAGGGACACCGGGACTCCTGCTCACCCAGCTGCGCCGCAGGTGTGTCCAAACTGGTATGAACAAGGTCTTCAAGTCCGTCCAAAGAAACAAGTATGGGTGTCAATAAGCAAACGTGTCCTAATGAAGACGCTGAGGACTCGTTTCTTTGTTGGACGGCGCTTGTTTGGAACAGATTTGTTTCTCCACGTGACTCATTTCATTCCCACAGAAATTTTCCACCACAGTGTTACTTTTCCAAGAACTTGTAACATTGGAGTTTAGCTATGAGCCGGCTGAGGCGCCCCTGAACAGAATTAATAACGTGAGGAAGATGAGAGGAGAGCGTTTCCTTCTTATGGCTTTATGTTTGTAATGCTACACTGACCTTACTGTCTAACGAAAGCCACATGCAGACCTGTGTGGTGTGTGTGTGTGTGTGTGTATGCGCAGTCCTATTCCGGTCTTAGCTTAATCTGCTCCAGTTAGCCAATAGACATCAGATTACCTGGAGGAAGGTTGAGGGACAGGTGAGCAGCTTCGTAGCCGAGGACGCCTCCATCAAGGTGAAGCACTGACGATACTGATGTGGAGACAATACGCTACGTATGTGATTATTATCACGTGAAAAGACAGATTTTATCAGCCCTTGGTGATCATAGGTTGGTCTCCAGTGAAAGACTGCCACCTGCTGTCTGCTCGGTCATGTTGGCCCCTGCGTGTAGAAGCGACAGCCTCTGCTGTAGTTACTGATGCACCAACATGACACGAGCAAACTAACAGTTTCATGCAGATTTTTGGCTGAACGCGGCATTACCAACCAGCCAGGCAACAATGAAGATAATTGAACTGAGAAGGGGCTATATGTCAGTATTTTAGATAAATGATAAAAAAAGATCACATCTCTGAGTTTGATGCAACGTGTTATACAACAGAATTATTTTATACAAATATGCCAATAAATGGTCCAAACCGAGGAAAAGAAGAAGAAACAGAAATTTTGTCAAACTTTGGGTAATGACTGAGATATCTTAGGAGGGGAAAGGTTGTTTTTGTGACACTGCTCACATTTCTGAAGCCTGACACGATCCAAGCACTATCGTCTTAGCATTGCTTTTTCTAATTAACCAAAGACAAAAAGAAAGGCTCTGTCTGTGATGTGACAAACGTCTGTGTAAAGTAAATGCATCAGTGTGAAACGCTGCTAACTTCTATTTCTCAGGTACATCAGGGAAACGTGAAAAAGCCTGTGAAGGGTCCATACTTTATTCTTTGGCTCTACTAGATTAACTTTGCATGATTCTCAGTTCTAAATAATCGTGTCGAAGCCTCGGTGCAGTCTGTGTAAAACAAGCTGTTTCAGCACCATCTAAGTTTAAGAGTAGGGCTTCTGTACCAAACACACACGTGCCGGAGATGACTGTTATATGATCCAAGGGTTGGAAAAGCCTCTGATCAGTCAGAGACTGTCCTGACTGTGTGGCTATGTTTAACATCCACTGATGGAGAGCCAGCATGATCCATTCATTTGACCTGTTAAAAAAACACCAGTGATCCAGACGTCAAACTACACGATCCCACCACCTGACACGACGCTCTTACCCGTACAACACGTGTTCATTTGAAGAGGAAACCAGCTTCCTCACGTAGTCTTTGGTTAAATATATGAACCAAGGCTGCTGCGTCAGGTTTAGGACATGTGCTTGAGATGAAACACTACCGTGCAACATTAAACATGTTCATTTCTCCCAGCAGAAAGCCATGACACCAGTCTGTGTTTCATGCATGCATTCATGCAGCCACTACACCTGCTTACACTTGTAATGATGAAACATGAAGAAGGACTGAGGGAGACAGAGAACTGCATACAGCCAACATCAGCGCTCCAGCTGATGAATGTGTTCTGATGTATCACATCAGAGAGCGATGCACATTGAACTTTCCAGGAAGCTGCTGCCAACACTCAAAGCTGTCATCGATGCGTTTTGGGATTGTGACGTAAAACAAGCTTCAGTTTGACCAGAACGTTGACACCATCCACCTGATTCTGAGCGCCCCACATCACTTCTAAATGATCACTGTGGTACTCCATCACTGCATCACATCGGTGCTGGACCGACTCCCAGTGCTGCAGCAGTTCACTCAGTTCATGAAGCATCACAGCTCTCAAAGATTGCTTCCAACTTGCGAGGTCTGAATAGCTCCGTTCCCAAAGCAATTTCTGCCACAATGTCCTCCTACAGGAAATCATTTTCATTCACAAGATCTGGCAAATCTCCTTTGAGAATGAAAGGAAATCATTACACAGTGTCAGTGACGAGTCACAGTTTGTCAGGTCAAAAAGTGTCACGGTCTGGCTGGCAGACCGGGGATGTGAGAAATGAGGACCCAAAATGCAGGACTTGGCGCTGAAGGCAGTGCGTTTATTTACAGTGGTGACAATCCAAACAACAATAAATCCCGTGCGATCCCAACTCCCGTTCCGTGTCTTCTCCTTTATCCCGTGCTCCGTGCTCTGTCTCCGTTCCTGTGTACTGTCCGTGTGCTGCCTCCTGGTCGCCACAATTCCTCCTGAGAAACACGCATACAAAAGGCAGTCGTGAGTACAAAACCTAACGGCAGACTTGCACTAACCTTGCACGATAAACTAAGACTGACGGGAAGTCACTCAACGATCCAGCGTCGAGGAGCTCTCAGCCACACTGTTTTGAAGCTCCTCTGACGAGGCTTGATCGGCGCCAGGTGTGTGTGGATTCCTGGTGGGACCGGTCAGCTGGCAGGGCCACACCCACCAGGCCTAGAAGTGCCTGCCACGACCGCACCCTCACATACACAGCACACACCCATAAACACCTGACAGTACACCAACACGGAAAACAGGACAGCAGACACAACCATAATAACAACAACCACAATAATAATGATAATAACTACAATAGTAGTCCAGACTGCTCACGGACCCCGAATCCCTGGAACTGGGTCCGTGACAAAAAGAGTCCAACATCCTTCTGTTCTTGACAAAAATATTATTCAGCTTTCTTTCTGTTCTGTCCTTCAAAGCTTAGAAGAAAACACAGAAAAGATTCAGGATTGATTGTTGAACACCTCTGGAAGATCGATATGTTACTTCTTTTAAACAAACCACCAAATGAGCAACACAACACCTGGAGCACCTGGAGCATCTGCTGAGCTGTTCTGGAGGAACATGGTGTCCAAAAGGTTACTGACTCTTTCATACTGTTTATATTAAACTTTTATATTAAATGTAGATTGTTTTTGCTAAAGCAGATAGTTAGTGCTGGACCAGGTGACCCTGCTCCTTAGTGATGCTGCAGTAGGCTGCCGGGATTCCCATGATGCACTGGGTTTTCTTCTTTCACTCACTATGTGTTAACAGACCTCTCTCATTGAATCATATCTGTTATTAACTCTTTGTCTTCTTCTCACAGCATGTCTTTGTTCCTTCTTCTTCTCACCCCCAACCAATCACAGCAGATGGCCCCGCCCCTCCCCTGGTTCTGCCGGATAAGGGAGTTTTTCCTTCCCACTGTCGCCAAAGTGCTGCTCATAGGGGTCATGTGATTGTGGGGTTTCTTGTACCTTCATTGTAGGGTCTCGCTGACAACATGACGTGCCTTGAGTGAACTGAACTGTAAAAGGTGTGATGACAGAGCATCAGTGTAAGGAGCCAATGTTTGATTGATGTGATTGAGATTCAGTTGAAATATAAGTACTGCACATGGAAGTGTCCAACCAACAGAACAGGCTCAGAGCACATCACAGCGGTACAGTTGGAATCAAGTACTACTATAACACAGAATATGATGCAAACTAAAGCAGTATTTTAATGCACTCCCTCAAAGAAATACGACATGAGTGCAGCACAGGCAGAGATACTGTGACGTGCAGCCTGTATACTTTTAGGCCTCGTGGTGTTTTTACTGGACCCACCTCTCTGGAAACTCACTGGATCAAACCAGCAGCCAAATGACCCTGGTTACATCATCAGTTTGATTTTAATTAAAAAACTCCTTCAGCGATTCATCAGACATCAGTGCGCATGT